CAGGATCGATTCTTTTTCAATGTATCCACTAAATTATTACATCGATTACACAAATCAATTTTTCACTGTGGCCTACCCACTTTATCAGTTTACTGAACTCGATAGAAATGAGGTGTTATTGTTTCATTGAAATTGTCATGTGTTATTTTTATTAGGTCATGTGATAGTTTTGTTCTGGCGTTTATATGGGTGTGTCTGTGCATGTTTGTGTGTGTGTGTCTGTGAATGTGTGTCTTTGAGTGTGTGTCTTCGTGTGTCTATATATCTGTATGTGTGTTTGTGAGTCTCTGTAGTCCTGTATGTCTATGAGTCTATGAAAGTGTGTATGTGTTTGTGTCTGTGTGTGTCTGTGTCTGTATCCTTAGGTTTGTCTGTTTCTGTGTCTTTAGGTGTGTGTGTGTGTGTGTCTGTGTCTGTGTTTGTTTGTGTCTGTAGGTGTGTGTATGTGTGTGTGTCTGTGTGTTTGTATCTTCGTATGTTTGTGTATGTTTGTGTGTGTGTGTTTGTTCGTGTGTTTATTCCTGTGTATGCCTGTGCCTGTTTGTGTCTGTGTGTATCTGCGTGTCTGTATGTCTGTGTGTATGTGTATACGAGATTATTTAGACACGAGAGCGGCGATGTTTTGCTTTGAAATACGAGCGAATCTGAGAAACGAGTAACTGGACTGGCGTGTTTCACAGAGAAGAAAACACCCGTCAAAAGTCATAACTTGTCGGTACTATTTAATGACTTATACGTAACTCATGTCCGCACCTTTGTCAGCGAGAAGGAAAAAAAAAAACCTCATTTGACCATTTTTTTAACGACCTTAATTCAAGAACTAACTTTCTACTTTAACATTTGACATTCCAAATGTTAAAATAGCAGTACATCATACTGTAATGCCCTGAAGATTAGAATTCACTCCCTTGGTTATGTAAGCCAGTTTCTTCCACGCAACAAACTTCCAGAACTTTCTTTCCCTTCGAACGAGAGTAATTACAAGGTTGTTGTTTTTTTTTTTCCCTCTCATTTCCCACCTTGGCCTGACGGAACGTATTGATCCTGTCTCGGGTGTTATTCAAGTCATAAACCACCTCCCACACTTGTCCGCCACTTCCACACCTTTGGTGATCGAAGGGAGACAACTACAGTCGTGCAAGTTCTCTCCCTTTTCTATTTTCATTTTTTAATCCTAGATAAAACATAACGTTTTTTTTTGTTTTTTTTTTAAACTGTGTCTAATTTCATAAAGGTTTCTTTAAATTTAAAAATAGTATTGATGGAGATAATGCGCTTTAAATGACCAAGAAGTCTTTGATACGAAGTTTAATTAAAAACGATATTTATATTAAAGCGTAAATGGAAAGCAGTGTACAGAAGGGATCAAATTCTGGTGAGGATGTTATGGAGAGTAGCGTTTTCAAGATGTAGGCGGTGATGATGATGGTTGTGATGGTTGTGACGTTGATAGTATAGAGACTATCGTGTTAATGATGATGGTGGTGATGGTTGTGGTGATTTGATGCTGTTGTGTGGACGGTATAGAGACTAGCGTGTTAATGATGTTGGTGGTGATGGTATCGCAATAGCAGACTGTTCTGTTGATGTGCTTTACATGAGATGAAAGTGAGGAATATAATGGTCAACCCAATAGCGTGGATGTTCAAAATCATATTTAAAGTGATAAGTTATATATATATATATATATATATATATATATATATATATATATATATATATATATATATATATATATATATATATATATATATATATATATATATATATCATTTAGAGGAAGACAATCGGTGCAATATAAAACAATTGTTATTCAAATTAATTTAAATTGTGTATTATGTTATCTTATAGCTGCTTTAAAAACGTTGATAATGTAATAATGTCCACGCTAATTTTCCTTTAATTGTATCGTTCAAATTAGCCTGCTCCTTAATTTTTTTTTTACATTTTGCCCAAAACGTTGGCAGTTATTATAAAATATGGAGAAATTCCCCGCGCAATTTTAGGCACTCATTTAACAATTGATTAACGATTTTTGCTGTATTAAAAACTTTGTTGCGTCTTGCACTTAAGGAAAACATGATCGAATACAGTTCATGATTTACACACCACTCGCGATTAAAAATAAACAGAAAACAAAAAGATTGTTTAGATATGTATTTCCGTCTAAAATATTTTTCAATATCTTGAAATAAAACAATTTTTGATAAGGCTCTTTAAATGTAAACAGAATAGAAATGTTTTTAAAACAGGCATGCTGTCATTATAATATTCAACGAATGCAAAACTTCTGTTTAATTTGGGAAAAAAAAGTATAAATAATGCTAAATTTGCTCTGTATACGTTAGATACGTAGATATATATGGAAGACTATTATATATGTATGGAAGTGTATGTGATAATAATAATTGATCGTGCGTATAACTCCCTTTTCAATATACAGTGGAAGCATAATGAAGATCGATTAACTCCCTTGCACCATTTTTACTTGAGAGTAACCGCCCTTGGACCATCATACATCGGTCTCAGGGACGCGTGCCCGGAAGTGATGCTTACCGCCATGTTGGTTTTGTTTGACCTTGACGCGGGGAGCGCCGTGGCTTGTGGGAGCTTCCTGGGACTTCCGGTTCCGCTGCTCCGGCGCGGAGTGGCGTTTGTTGCCGTCTGCCGTTTTGCCGTCTGCCGTTTTGCCGTCTGCTGCCGGCTGGAACGCTGACCTGTGGTAGCTGCCCTGGACTGTGGAGATCTTCAGCTGAAGCTCGTCGTCATGTCGTCGTCTGCTCTTCTCCTTCCCCGGGCGACGGGTGTCACGTGGGCCGTGGTTGACGTCCGTTGGCCGTGATGGGGTGTCTCGTACCTCGGAGAGGACGCGGTGCTGGGGTGTCGAGTCACGTGATGTGTCAGGTGCAGGGTCACGTGATTGCCCTAGTGTGACCACCCGACTCACTGGGGACGTAGAACACCCCCCAGCCACCACACTCCTGCCCGTCTTCAAACCACAGCCCGACTCCACATCTCCACGTCTCCGAGAAACACCCCCACCTCCCTGTTGTTCTTGAACTTCACCCCCCGAGTTTGTCCTGACCTCCGCCTCATTTCTCACCACGCCATTCACCACGATGTTCCCATCCCGCGTTTTATCTTCTTCTTCGTACGAAACATTCACTTCCGGTTTGATGACGTCATCGCTTTTGTTCCTCGGATCGCCCTCGTCATCGTCGTCTGAATCTAGCGCCGACGACATTTGTTTTGGGGAGAAAAACAAACAATTTCAAAAAAACAGACGGCCGTGAATATTTTCGCAGACAACTCCTTATTAACTCAATATAATTAATTAGTTTGGAAATTGTTTCCTGAAATTGATTAGGTGTTCCTAAATTTGTGTTCCAGCGGTGAATTATTTACCTCAATGATTACGTGTATCGTCTGACAAGCTAATCGATAACGAATTAAGCTTCTTAAATAAAAGATGAAAACAATTTGAAAACAAAAAAATTTTCCCTCGAAATAAAACTTTAAAATAATATTTGACGCTGTTCTGTGATTGTTTGCTTTCTTGTCTTGTGTTTCACTTGTCGATGTTTTAATTATTTTTATTGTTTTCGTTTTTCATTTTTTTTCTTGGTTGTTTTTTTTTTTGCGTTGTAAATGTGTTAAGTTGAAAATTTATCTCTTTGGAGAGACAATAATTTTTCAACAAGAAAAAAACATGTTTATATGACATGGTGGTAAAATTTCACGTTCGCGTTCATCTGGGCCAATTTTTCAATTTTTCGCGCTTTTTTTAAAATTATTATTGTGTAGCTCAGGTGTCACGTGTGTTGTTTGGTATCACGTGATTGACTGCCCAAGAGAAAACATTTAACAAGCAGAAATCTGCAGATTTTCAGCGATTTTGAACAAAATTGGAAAGTTTTAAGTTTTTACATTTGATGAAAACATTTAAACACAAAATAGAATCTAGAAAAAAAACAGAACATTACTAATACTAAAAGTAGTAAAAAGTTTAAAGCTAAACAGTCGATAAACACATTAAAGAAAGCCATTTTTTAAAAAAAGCATTACTAAAACTAGTGAGAAGTTTTCATGCAAAGATCTAGCGAATGTAAAGATAGAAAACAACAAACAGAAAGTCAAGCAAATCTAACAAGCATGAAAACAAACCACATAGCAAATACTAGTGTGTGGCTGTTGTTTAAGTTTTAAAATATATTGTATTTAAAACGAAAACTCTATGTCATTTATGAAAAAAATGTGTTTTTGAAACTGCTGACAAATACATTTACTATTTGCACACATGTTAGTCGTTAAACATCTAATATAAACTGTTTTCTGTTGTAAATCGAAATATATGTATAAAACATTCACTACAAACTTTCCTGTTGGCTGTCAAATTAATTCGACGTTAGGATATCTATTATAAATTATTACTTTTTAGCTTAATTTATTGTGTGGAAAATGTCGAATACAATAACCTAATTCTTAAACTGACACGATCTGACTTTATATATGAAAATATAAAAAAATATGTATTCAGCATGAATACATAGCTATTCTGATGGTCGTGCTTGTGTTGATGTTCTATCGATAACAGATGCGTCGTGTGTCGCTCTTTTGTGCTCGCGTGCTTCGCTTTTACATTATGATAATTTTATATTGCGATACATTTTATGTAAGCTATCAATAATTTTTAATACACATTTTTTAAATATTTGCAAAATTTTAATTTTTGGTTAATTTTTTTTATATATTTATATTTACTACAGATCAGTATTTTTATAACATTGTTAGCGATAACTTTATTGTATTAATTAGTTTGCGCGTATGTTTGTAAACATGTGTCAAAATAAAATAGACACAAAGCAAAAACTGAACAAGCAGACACATCAATAAAACAAAACTAGGGCGGGTTAAGAAAAAACGTGTAAGCTCCCTTCAGAGCACGTTTCACTTCAGCTTAACCCGCCCCTGTGAGTGAGAGAGTTGAATGGTGTACTCACCTAGAAAATTGTCCTTCTGTGGTACCTTGTCGATGCAGGGAAAGCCGCCACAGTTGGAGAAACAGAGGGACTTGTTGAGGTAGAGGAAGAAGATGACGAGCAGTAGGACGAAAACTAGCACAGCTCCAAGAAACGCTACCGCCTCGATAGGAACTGTGGGAGAGATGTGGGGTGATGGTTAGATGTGTGGGTGTGTGGGGGTGATGGTTAGATATGTGGGTGGGTGGGGGTGATGGTTAGATGTGTGGGTGGGTGAGGTGATGGTTAGATGTGTGGGTGGGTGGTGGTGATGGTTAGATGTGTGGGGGTGTGGGGGGGAGGTGGTTAGATGTTTGGGGGTGTGGGGGGAGATGGTTGGATGTGTGGGTGGGTGATGCTGATGGTTAGATGTGTGGGGGTGTGGGGGTGATGGTTAGATGTGTGGGTGTCTGGGGAAATGGATGGGTGTGTGGGTGAGTAGAAAGATGGTTACATAGGTGGTGGGTTGTTGTAGGTGTAGGGAATGTGGGGAGATGGTTACATGTGTGTGGGGGGATAATTAGGGCACATTTTTAAATGTGTGGGTGGTGGAGGTGTTTAGGCAGATGGTTAGACGTTGAACTGTGTGGCTCGGGGAAGGTGTGCGGTGATGGTTAGATATCGTGTTGGTGAGGTGTGGCGATCAATGCTTTCTTCCCCCCTCCCCCTCCCCCTCCCCCACCAACCCACCCATCTCATCCATTTCGATTTCCACCCAACACATTTGGGCAGCTTGTCTCTAATGACAACCCTCCAGCCAAATCTTGTCTTGACAACTTGTTACACAGCTAATGAACAAAGGTTCACTATCGCTAACCTCCCTACTAGATGGAGGGGATGCCTCGTTATGGCTGTATCTTAGACCCTCATATACATGAAATCAATACAAACTAAAACAACAAGCATATGGTCAAAAGTCTTATAAAAATAAAATAAAATAAAAAAAACGAATTTGCCGTAAAATATAAAACTCTTATTGATTTTCATCAAGTTTACTCAGTTTTAATGCGTACTCAGAATCAATGTTAGCTAAGTTATGATATGAAATCTTATCTTTTTAATTAGCAAGTACTGAGCCGAGAAGGTCACGCGGGAACACTCAACCTACCTGCCTGATGAACGCTCGCCATTTGTATTACGTCATCACAGCTCCAAATCCCCCGTTTTTGATTGGTCAAATACTCCAATAAATGTATTTAGCTTCTAACTTTGTTTATTTGTTTAAACTCTAGAACTGAAGAGGTAAAAGAATTCACTGCCCTAAACTACTTAGGCTCTGCTATGAGTATAAACACCATTCAAAATGTAATATTCACGTTATTTAATAATAAATGCTTTAAGCAGAAACTTAATCCCTACCTGACCTATAATTCTAAACCTAACCTTTTGTGTTAATACATTAAGCCTTTCAGTAATATATCTGTAACGCTTATCCGGCTCACTAATTCTAGTTCGCAACTAATCACTTACTAGCTTTTAGGTCATTTGACCTTTAGGTCATTATGACCTGTCCATCAACTGACGAGGTCAGATAATTGTCTCTCTATTCGTCCCTGAGGGCCGACGCTACGTGTGGGGGCGAGATCACACTGGCAGGAACCAATGTGTACTCGTGTCTGACGACGTCACGCACAGAGGGGGGGGGTGAGTGGAGGTGGGATGAGGGGTGGGGGAATGTAGTATGTAGATCACATGTGTACTCGTGTCTGACGACATCACGCCCATGGGGGGGGGGGGGGTGAGGGGGAGGGGGGATGTAGTGCGTAGATCACATGTGTACTCGTGTCTGACGACATCACGCCCATGGGGAGGGAGGGAGAGATGTGGAGGGAGGGGTAGAATTAGCATGTAGATCACCCCCACGGGAGTACAGGGATGTTACAGAGTGTCTGATTGGTCGATGCCAGCCAATGGAAGGAAGCAGCATGCAAGACGGTCGTTAGGTGTGGTAGGGTGGAGGGTTAGGGTGTGTGTGTGGGGGTGGGAGGTGCTAGGTCACGTGATAGAAAGTGATTGAGAAGACAGAGGTTTAAAAATACGACAAGATGTGCCATATAGAACTGTATTAGCCAATTTTAACGCGTGTGCCGTTTCTTGTAAATCTATTGCGTTAATTAGTAAGCCACTTCAAGTTTTAGTTTAATGACACTTTGTGTTTGATTTACCTCACTTTAATTTTAGGAAAAAATCTGGAGTTCAAGTGTGGGAAATATATGTTCTTTAAAAGTTAAACAAGGTGAACACAAGCGCGAAACAAAGGAAATGTACAAGAAATTTAGAAGATAAAAAAACATTTTGGAAAGAGCAACGTCATCTATGGATGACCCGCAAATAACAATTGATGAAAACTGTAGCTCATTCCAAAGTAACCGTTTACTTATGGTTTTAAGCTAGTCCTTGTCCTAAAAATCTGGCACAACTCTTACACCATCGCAGAATGGATTTTTTGTCAAATTAAATAACTAATGGCAGGACATACGCTGGAGATAACAGGTACTATTTTAGAGCGAAATAATCTGGGGATCTAAATATCATAAAAGAAATATTTAAATAACACTCAGACTGAGTCGAATTTTATGTTTTCATGAGCGCTCATTGCCCGTTGTCTCACGCCCAGGATAAAAGAGAGGGTAGAGTTGACACGACTGTGATAAGGTCTGCACATTTTGTGCACATTTTGTGCACATTTGTGCATATTTGGTGCACATTTGGTGCACATTTGGTGCACATTTAGTGCACATTTGGTGTACAGTTGGTGCACATTTGGTGTGTACCCTGCATTAGAGGCATCTGATAATACAAGTGCTAAAATACCAGCCAGCACATTCTATAAATAGCGCAAGACACACACGAGCTAAGCTTGCATAAATGTCATCGTCTATCGCCATGTTGGGGTACACAAGCCACCGTCTACCCCTCGGGATTTCGGTCTGTGAGTACCCAATGATGGTATTGGCGTATTGTCGCCCACCCACGTAAATTTTGTCTAGGGGACGGGGGTGACGGGGGACTTAAAATTCCCCCCCCCCCTTCCCCTCTTCCTGATATACACACGCACACCACAAACACTCACTGATTGACAGGCATTAGAACTACAATAATTCGTTGACATCGATACATACATATGTTTGTGTTTACGCTCGACTGAACAGGACTTTACATTTTTTTTAGCTTCCTTACATTTCTTGTAATACATTTCTTTTTTTTTTGCTTCCTTACACACTATCTTTTCATATGCCGAGGTCACAGAAACAATAGAACTCTACTTCACTTGCCCCATAGACCAACAGGTTTGAAAAGGGAACTTAACTTAACTTTAACTAACTTAACATTTCTTGTAATACATTTCCTTTTTTTTTTAGCTTCCTTACATTTCTTGTAATTTATTTCTTATTTCGCTTCCCTACATTTCTGTCCAACTTCACTTTAAAAAACCGACCCTTCACGTCGAGAGCCTCGTCTGTTACTTGAGTGATCGATCAATTTAATTAGACAAGATGATACAATGACATCCGCAGCGTACAAAGCATGCATTGTGTCATGTGACACGGGAACTGTGTTGATGATTCTCCAGCGGAAGTGACGTTTTTATCACAATCTATCACGTGTTTAGTTAAAGTGTAGAGGTCACTTATATTGTTCTGAGAATAATTCGGATAAAATTGAAACTTTTTTTCATGCTGACAAGATTGATCGAAATATTATCTTTTTTTTTTAAATGTAATCATAGATTTAAGAAATATCTCAGAGAATATTGTTTATCGTGATCAGTTGGGTATTTAGACCACCCGACCGAATTTCTAAAGACTAGTCAGCAAATTTTACTTTTATTTAATCTCGCGTCATTAGCCTCCATCTGTGATTTGTCAACACGTACATCTTTTATATTAAAGTGTAATTGTAGCTTAATGGTATATCTCGGTGAATTGTTCGCGTTCAGTTGGGTATTTAGACTGCCCAAAAATATTTCCCAAAACCTGATTCCCCAACCCTTTTTTTTCGACACCTATAGATTTGTATTTACTGAAAGAAATCAAAATCCGATACACGTTGACCTACATGTTAAACCTCGACCCCTCGCCTGTCCCCCACACCCCTCCCCCCCCCACCCTGCGTCCCATCACCTAACAGCACTGGAATGTAAACACAACACGTGGGTTATCGCCCCGTCCATCTGATCAATGATGTATCTTAGCACTTACAGTAATTGCCTAATTTAATTAATGATCTGACCTCCTTACGATGATCTATGTTTTATAATACAGTACAATGCAAAAGTATACATACACAATCAATATATAGGCTATATATTTATAAATGTATCTATATTTTCTAAAAGTAGTAATGTTCTCTTTTCAGACCTAATAATACGTAGGGCAGATGAAGTAGAGTTCACATGTTTCTTTACCTAAGCATATGAAGGGATGGTGTGCTAAGCACCATACCCAGCACCATGCCCAGCCGCCTTTACTTTCCCTAACGTAAGTCAAATACCCGTAACAGCTTAGCTGAACTCAGGGACGTCCTACACTCATTGGTCCGAAACGAGATCCGAACTCGAGACCTTCGGGCTAGCTGACAAGTGCTCTACCACTCTACAACACCGTCCCATATATGTACTTATTGGTATAATTTTCAATCTTGGCCGATTAGACAAAAAAAAATATAAACAGCGTCATGAATATTCAAAAAGAATTTGATCTTTTTTAAATGAACCTATATCAAACCCAACACCCGTATGAATATGTTACTATAAATTGGTGAGAAGATGTAATGAAAATATAACATTATTATAATGTGAATGACTGTTAATGGTCCTGAATAACTGAGAATAAAATGTGACCAAATAAATAATCATTCCCCACTTAAAACATTATAAATGTGTATTTTTTATTTATATACATACATAAATGCCCACATGTAAGATTTTGGTGATTGATGGTAACATGTAAATTTAACTTGCTTTAAAAAAGTCTCGTGATATGACCTCATAATTTGACCCACGAGCAAGGACAACTACCGTAGAAAACAATTTCCGGTCTATTTTGTTCATGCTGAAGCACATGATGTTCAACATTCAGAAAACAAAATGGACGATCATCAAGATGAGACAATTTAAAACGTCGTCCGATTCA